GTTTCGCCGTAATGTACCTGACTGAAAAATGATTAAATAATAATTATAACGATAGATATTTTTTATTAAATAAGAACTATGAACAGAGGACTCTATGGAAGTCAATAAGAAATAGGCAAGATAGATAGATAGGACACCTTCTCAGGCATGAAGATCTAGTCAGAGACATTAATTAAGGCAGAAAAAGGAGTTAGGAGGAGTAGAGGTAGACCTAGATTAGATTACTGCTCACGAATAGTTAAGGATGTGGGATGTTCTAGTTTTAGAGAAAAGCGAAGATTAGCTCAGGATAGAAAAGAGTGGAGGTGCGTGTCCAACCAGTCTGACAACCTTATGGTGATAAAGAACTATGGGAGCGAATGAAAGCATTCAAAGCGTAAATAAATCTAAAAATCAAAATTTTCTGCATTAAATAATGAATTAATAAAAATTTTCTCTGTTTCATTTAAAAGAAAAATAACATTTTTTTCATTTGTTTAAATAAAATTTATTGTCAAAAAATTATTATACCTTATTCCAAATATCGGCAAATTAGAATTAAAATATGGTAAAATGTTTGATAAATAAAATTGTTTAATTACCCTGATTGTTGTCCTTGGGATATCCTTCCATCATTTTCTAAACGATTAAGAGGTCCTCCGTTTTTTCCTACATCGCTGCAAATGAAATACGTCAAATGCGGGACGTCTTGAAAATTCTCTTCTGGTACGGGGTACTAATTTCGGATAATTTTTGTAGTGAACATATGTGCGTAGATATTTTTAGTTTTATTGTTTCTAGTAACTTCTCGATAAATAAAGGGTAAGTTGACTTAGAAGCAAAAATCAGTAAATAATTAATGTTTGTGGTGGGATGACAGCGCTATTGGTGAATCACCCACGGTGCAATACCTCAATGGTGGTGTGAAAATTTACCTTAATATAATTATCTTTCTTTTGTGTTCGTAATACATGTTGAAATGTAATTTACATTGCACTGCATACTATCAGCGATGAACAGATGTATTATTTGAATTCATTTTAATCAAAATAACCGTCTAAACATTATGTGCAGTAGTAAGTTGTTTAAATTTATCTTAGTCATCTCACTATTTGTCGCAATTTTATAGTTCACTATTCGATGCACACCTATTTTTCCAATACACGAGCAGGGTTCTGGCTTCGGATCGTAAATTATTCTGGCTTTCTAACATGCTTCTATTAGCTTAACCTGTATGTATNTTACATCGCTAGAAATAATATTACCTACTTTACTATAGGTACACTATGCCTGATCAGTGCTCAGGAAAAATTAAGGAAAAAGAAGGTACATGAAAACTAAGTAGAGTGACCCATATCGCACCACTCAGTGATATACATAAACATGAGGGTAGTGACCTTACCGAAAACCCTAACTACTCCGGAAATGATGGTGATGACGCGTATTCGCGTGATACCGCCGGTGTATTCCCATTGCATTCTTTCCATATGTGACCATCATATCCACATATTCTACATGTGAATACATTGGATTTTGCTTGATATTACCATATTCAACTTATTTTTGTATTTTGTGGTACTACTTTGTCAATGGAACGCTAACAAGTGCTGATTGTTAGTAATCATTACCTACAATTGACTTGTCGACGTATCAGCTGTTTGCGAAGGTTACGAATAGGTCTCTGTGTTTCGTCGAAAGCTAAGATAACGCGGTACCTGTTCTCAATCATTGACGTCTCGTTAAGTGGGTACTTCTTGTGTATACTTTTTACATCCCCTACGTTTTGGTACTATGACGAGATGCACTCTACAGTGTTTCCAGATGTTACCCTTTAAATATTCCGGAATACTGCTCAGACATAGTGTATTTGTATCATGGCTTTTTACCTCGAATGCCTAAATTTGTAGAATGCGAAATCCAACCGTTTGGATTTTCAACGGGATTATTCAGATAACCTGAACGCCTACTGCTATCATAAGGAGCAGCTTGATGCTCTGAATTTTTAACGCTATACACTGACACTGGTCTTAAAAAGTCACCCTCAGAATTATATTCTTGATTAGGGATCTGGATTGCTTGTTTGGGATATGAACCATGATATTGCTGCTGGGAAAATGAAGGAGGTTCCCGTCTTTCTTCCATCTGATTATTCTTTAATTAAATAAATAATAATAAATATTTACGTAATTCATCTGTTGCGTTAATAAATTGGTAACTATTTTTTGGCTATTTCCGACAAAACTACGAAGAGGTAGAGCTTCATTACGCTTAATCATAATAAATTTTACACAATAACAGGGCAGCTTGACGTTTTTCATTTCCTAAATGTGTTTTAAAGACGCTGTTTCGGGAATAACGGTTTCTATGTAATTACATATAATTATGTAAAACATGTAGGTAAGTATTTAGAAACAGAGCTATATTATATCTTCAAGTCCCAACATTTTTTAATAAGCTTGATTGCTATGTGACAAAATTATTCAATTACAATATAATTAAGAAAACAAACATTACTATACAGGGTGTTTCTAAAATAAGTGCCTAGCTTGCAAGAGGTAATAGGGCACTATAAAACGAGAGAGAAAGTAAATGTTTAGGTTTGAATGTGCAACGTTTTCGAGAAAAACGTATTTGAATGTACAGCCAAGGACCACTGCATTCAATCGGCCGGTAATTAGTAATATCAGTTATTAGCACTAGGTCAGTGTAACACTGTAGAACATTTATTGTTATTAATATTAGGAATGCCATCTCGTCTCTCAAAGCCAGTGGTTTGTTCATTATTGTTTGGTATCGGGAATTAATCGATATAAGGGACCATGCAAGAGGGAAGAGAGAAGAACGGAAACCGGAAAGCAGAAAAGTAGTTTTAACTTCAGTGGCGTTTACTACGACAGAATTGTGTAACATGGTAAAGTTACCGGCATCCCCAATGAACACTTTCAAACCCGCGAGCCGTCCTAACTGCGAGAAACGGATAATTTACACTCTACATTCGAGGGTGTACAGAAAACGCAATCCTCGATTTCATAGTAGACAACCTCCAAAGGAGTACACGCTAAATAGCCTGGAACGTTGTCTCCTTTCGTGTGACAGCGTGGCGAATTTTAAAAAAACAATTGCTGCATCTTATCATTTGCAGCGAGCAAACATTACAGCGAGTGGATTTTTATCAGCGGTTTCAGCTAAAAAATGCAGCAAACGCTATTTTTTTCCTTAGGGAGTTTTCCTGTATCTTCAGTAGTCCGGATCTAACTCCGCTGATCTGTTTTGTATGGGATTGTACGAAACCTCATTGCATTATGCTAATGATGTGTAGGACCGTGTAATGGTCATTTCAAATGAAGTTCGCCAAATGCCCCACGACTTGCACGAGTGAGAAATAAGTTTGTTTACTGATGTTGTTTCCTGGAAGCTAACATCTACCACCCGGTTGGTAGTTCAATAAGCGATTATTTAAAAAAACAAGAATAAAAATAATCGGACAATCAGATTTAAGAGTCATTAGAAGCTAGTCAGAAATTAACCCATAGACCAAATAGACAACTGACGCATATGTACCCCACCAATATAATAATAATTAATTAACAACAAAAGGCATATATATCTTTCTGAAGTTGTCTCTCCAAAATGACGAACTTTCGCAGTAAAAAAAAAGACAGCACGAACGTAGTTGTTGTGATCGTACTGTAATATTTTTAACCAACTTCAATGAGATTGTCGTAAGATAAACTTTTAGCAGAAATAANTATCTTTCTGAAGTTGTCTCTCCAAAATGACGAACTTTCGCAGTAAAAAAAAAGACAGCACGAACGTAGTTGTTGTGATCGTACTGTAATATTTTTAACCAACTTCAATGAGATTGTCGTAAGATAAACTTTTAGCAGAAATAATTTGGATAAATAATAAATCATTTGGTAGTTATTATTTGCATGTATTACGTTGGTAGTATCCAATAAGTTAAAAATAATTTCAACCATACGTTTCCATACATAGGCTCCCACCGGAATTTACCTAGGGCCTACTATTTTCTTAATTCGGTACTGGTTAGAACTGAGAGTGGTAATATCGGTGACCGTCTTCACTCACCCTGATGATATTCTACTTTTCCCGTCAATAATATGGTAGGCCAATACATTAACTTTAATTATAGTGTTTGTTAATTACCATTGGATTATTATTAAAAATGTTTCAAACAAATTATTTTACCTATTTCTAATTATTAAACTGTTAGATAATTTTTTAAGCCATGTTCAAAATTCGTTTTCAATTTGAAATATATTCTTAATGAATATAAAAAACAGGTGCAACTCAGTACACGTGAAAGAAGTGAAACATCTTTGGCGATCTCTATACCTTTATAACGAATAAATAATGATTCGCGAAAGAAAGAGAGACTACGAGAATTTTCAGGATTTATTTTTTTCAGTATATTTTATCTTTATTCCACCTAAGGAGTATTACTTTAATACGTTTTTATGTAATTCAATAACAAAAAAATGGTCAAATTTTTTTCGCTTCCGTTTATTTTTCCAAGTGCTTAAGAAACCGTAAACTATCAATAACTACAAGGAATTAGAATTAATACATAATAATATTCACTCTTAAATAAATATTAATTGTTGTTAAATAAATATTTACTGTAATAGACTTACTGTAATATAACTGCACATATATAACCAAAAAATTAATTTAGCACTATAGTATAGTGAATATACATTATTCTATAACATATGAGATGCCGGTCACTAACAACAGACTACAATACTGTTATGCGCATGCGCGCCTTTTTATTCCCATAGCCTATCGCATCGCGAGACAAAAAGTTGCAAAACGTATCGTTTCATGGCCTTGAGATTTTACTCTCACCGAGCCCAAAGAAGTTTCACTTCAAAATGTCGCATCTTTACTGCACTATTTCGACGTGAAATTTAATCTATTTTTATCTTCTGCACGAAATTTAAACTTACAATATCGTGAATTGTCTGAGGCAAGGATGGCTTCAAAGTAGTGCTTGTTAATTCAGGACAATTCATTTCTGGACCTTCGTCACTACCATCCGTACATTGCGTAATTCCATCACATGCATTGTAAATAGCAATGCATTCGCCACTTGATTTACATTCAAATTGGTATCGACTGCATTTCCTGACCTTTTCTGTAAACAAAATCTTGAGTAATAAAGTAATAAAAGACACTTAGCATTTTGGTGTATATGAAAGTATACCTTGTTTATTTATTTTAGTGGTCAGTGTCGCCAGAATTTTTGGTTGCACTGTAGTGAGTACAGCAGATGATGCTATTTGGACATTCGATGCTTTTTTAAGGTCATGTACTTCAGGAACCCTTAAAATTTAAATATTTACAATAACATCTGTAGGTACCACAAGCCGAGTAGAATATATATATATATATTATAGATATCTAACACAAGGAATCATGAATGTAAAGTAAAAGTAATGTTTCATGTACGTTTTCTTGATATATAAATGAGTTTTTAACAATTTGTACCATGTACCAAAACGCTACCGTCTTATTTGGTGTACAAAAGTACTAACACTTTTGTTTTAAAATAAGACTGTGTAAATCAACCGTCTTGTATTTAGTCATAAAAACGGCATTTTTTTAAAGCAGTGCAAAAAGAACTGAAGATCTAATAGTCAAACCTTTAACGGTTCACTTTATGATCCGGACAAACTCCGTTATAGTCTAACCTGTCACAGCACAAAATGAAGAATGTACGTCATAGATCAAAATTACAAAACCCGAAATCGTAATAATTGTAGGAAAGTATACCAAAAACATCTCAACAACCAAAGCATTGACCAAGGGGTCCGTTTTACTTTAGGGGCGTTTCCTATTTTTGTACAGACTATTTAAGTCCTAGTCCAGCTCAGCGAGAGTATTCCAATTCAACTACACCAATCAATTAAGTATTCTAATTCAACTCAGCCAATTCAAATTTTATTCAAGGCCCAAAATTCATTCAATGCACGTAAATACCACAAGTATTTTTTCAATTCAATTTAGACCAAGTTATTTTATGTTTATCTGTGTATAGTACAAACCCAATCAATTCGTGTAAATAGTGTAAATAAATTGTATATAGAAAAGCAGCCTTTTAATGTGGAAGTGTGTAACCAAAAGATCCTTCGGCGGGATACCACCACATACATCATCAGCAATCAAAATCAACTCAAATAGAAGGTACAGGAATAAAAAAAAAATAAAATGAATCATCTTGCACCACCCAGTGATATACATACACATGAGGTTTATGTTTATGGCTTTACCGAACGCCCCTACTGCTCCGGCAATGATGACCAGGATTACCTAGCGTAATTGCATAACGCGGCGTCGCTACATGCTGTGGTGGAATTTCATACTCGAACATGGACAAGGAAGGAATTCAGTCAAGGTACATCCTGGTATACTTCGTTTACTTTCTATAGCGATGTGACCTTCAGTTTGACCGGCGTAAGGTAGAAAAGAACAGCACTAGGCCAGAAAAGGAAGGAGACAACTCTCGGCCAAACTCTTAACCGGTGAGGAGCGAATAATCCGTACAGTACTGCACGGAAAAAGGGACCATTTTATCCACTACAATTGCATTACTCAAATGTGCTGTTATTGGTACCATGTACTACTGAAAATATCAACGAGATGTTTATTTATATTTGAAAACATATTAAAGACTTCAACGCTTGTTTTCGACTCGCACTACTATTCATGATTGAACAAAACTTTTGGCAGGTACTGTATGAAAAAGTATGTTTAATGAACAAGAGTCGAGAGTATAATGAGCTTTTTTCTCCCTACCTGCGATTTTGCCAGCGCGCAACCAAGACATTGGAAGGGGCACATCGCTACAGAAAGTAAATGAAGTATAAGTATGTTGTATCGAACACGATCATAAGTATGACTTATTTCAATATCCTCCACGCCTGTTTGCAGTGCAATGATTCGGATTTCGGAGCTTCAACTCTTTGTTGTATCTATATATATCTTCGGCATCAATTTCGAAGAATCCGTTACTCTCAATATGTAAGTCTTGTGGTATTCACAACTTCTATATTATTTAAAAGAATTTCCATGTATAACCACCAGTCCTGGGTACTCCTTATTCGGCTCGAACGACCAATTAATATGCGCATAATTCGCTACATATCATCTCGTAAGCTCAGGAAAAACCAATGGATTCATATGGTCAAATTGAGTACTCTGGCTGCGTTATATTTACAAAAGCACAACATTATATTCAAGACTTAAAACATATAACCTTATCCTACACATAACCCGTTTATGTACAGACTTTCCAAATTATTTAATTTGAATATGGAAACCGATATGAGAGCGCCTGCAAATGTACTACTTTTCTAAAATTCTCTCCGAAAAACTGCCTGTCTCCTCCTTGAACCTTTTTTTTATTATCGCTTGAAACGTCTGCACACAAACCATAATATACTAAGAAGAAAGTTAGCAGGTATAATCATAGACCTTTTAACTGTATATTTTTCAAAAAGGACCAGATAACAGCTACATAGTTTTTAAATATTTTTGTTAGGAAATCTGAATAAATATATTGCTGTTTGATTGATATTTTCAAAATAAACTTATTTTTACATTTTGTGATAGTAACAGTAACTTTGCTAGCCGAACGATAGGTAACAGTATACGCGAAGTGAAAACTACTACTAATCTTCATTACGTGCAATTGTCAAGTCTGCGTACCAGCTGTTGCGAAGGTAACGAGTTGGTATGTGTGCTTGACAAATGACTCCCTAACTAAATTGTATGTATATAATATACAATTGCAAAAATATTTGCAGCTCCCCTAGCAAATAGAACTGTCTGAAGTCTAAGCCTACTTCTGGTCAGGTACGTGTATGTACAAAATTCTTATAATCTAATCAAAAATTACTCAAGCTTATACTTAAGGATTGATTATTATTATTACTTTTCTCAAGTGCAATGGACTGCATATGATCCAACATTTATTTAGCAAACAAACCTTTCTATAGACGTAGATGATATAAAACGCGTTGAGCTATCATTCTACGAAATACTATTTGACTTCTCTAGATGGAAGTCGGGTTACCTCATTCCTGTTAAGAGTGACTGCTGCAAACTTGAGGTGGAAGTCATCCAAAGGGTGCTAGCTTATTGACGAAAAGCTTTTAAGAATGTCTAATGATAGGTTCCTGAGTAGAACGAAAGTTAACTGCTTGATCAATATTATTGACGACAAAACAAGGCTCGTATATGTTGGTACGTGTTAATTGGTTTAATTGCATGAATATACATTGTAAAGAGAACTAGATACATTATACATCGAAAAGTAATTAGTTTCATTTTTTGTTTAGTTAATTCGTGTGCAGATCCACAGTGGTAAACCTGAAGTTTTTTTTTTCGGTACCTAAATATTCTAAGCGTTTGATGTTTTGATATTCATCTGCTACAGCTTTTATGTTAATTATCTAGGTATGCGACTGATTCTTTGCTAGTAAGATAGTAATCGGGAGTCTCGGGAGACTATTTTTTACTTTGCATGTCTGTAACTAACACTAATTTAACATAGTCGATCTAAAATTGTTTTAATTAATTTTTTCAGTCTTGTTCTACACAGAGTAGGTCTAGATAACGAAATATTTAACTGAACAATACAACCAACGAAACCAATAGATATTTTATAATCAGTTAGCTACCTAATTCCAAAACGTAGAAATTAAAACTATATTAATAAATCAACCAGGTAAATAAAAACTAAACAGCAATATTCGCATAAAGTCATTAATTGATTTAATTAAAATTTCCTATATTATTGTAGTTCGCTGAATTACTGAGAAGACTTTGACATAAAGTTAAAATTTTAATATAAATTGAAAGGCGGGAAGTTTAATGATTTAAACAGTTTTACTAATTAGGAAAGTTCTCACAAAAATAGTGTAGTTGCATACGATCATAATCAGAACGAAATGCTCTATGCAACACAAAAATTGCAGGTAGGTAGAATTGGCTTTCAATAATTGTAGAAGTGACAAGATGAGGTAACAGTTAGGTTTGTTATGCCATTTATAGAGGGAATTTTGAAAAGATTTTTTTGTAACAAGTAGTACAGTCGGTGGAGGGTCAAATTCCTTTGATATTGGTTGTAAAAAATTCCCTGGGGAAAAAAGCCTCAAGAAAATATGCCCCTCGGAAGAGGAACGAGACCTTAACTATTACTTTTACTACTATTTATTGAGGGAATGTCTCAATTCGCCCGATGATTAACTCAGAGAGAAAAATGTCCCATAAAATAAATTTGTGGGGATCATTATCATACTCGTCAGCTCCAAGATTGGTTGGACACGCATCTTCCCTTTTTCCTATCCTGAGCTAATCTTCGAATTTCCCTAAAACTAGAACAACCCACATCCTTAATTATTTGCGAACAGTAATCAAATCTAAATCTACCTCTACCCCTCCTAACTCCCGTTTCTGCCTCTAATATGTTTCTGACTAGACCTTCATGCCTGAGAAATTGTCATACTAACCTATCTTGCCTATTTCTTATTGACTTCTATAGAGTCCTCTGTTCTCCTATTTTTTCAACATCTCTTCATTTCTAACCTTCTCCATCCACGGTATCTTCATCATTCGCCTGTAACTCCACATTTCGAACGCTTCTAACCTTTTCTTTTCCGCAGCGCCCCACGTCCATGTTTCTCACCCGTAGAGCGAAGGCGACCCTGCGCTATTTGCTTTATATCCTTACTACCCCTTCCGTCCAGACTTATCTGACTTCCTAGATATCTAAAATCAGCCACTTCCAATTTTTCATCCCTTTTCTTTATATTCGCTCTTTCCCTACTTTTTCTTCCCTTGCATACCAGTATTTTAGTTTTACTTTTATTTATTTTCATACAGTACTGTTTTGTCAGTGCAGCATTTCTTTTATTTAAAGCTATCTCTATGTCCTCCTCTTTGCTAGATACTAATACTGCTATGTCATCTGCAAACCTAAGCATACTAATCTTTTGCCCCTGTATATCTATCTCTACAGTTGTACTGTTTTTAATGATGTTGATCGCGTTTTCGATGTATGGATTAAAAGGTAACGGTGACAGTGTACATCCCTGTCTGACTCCCTTCCTACGTTGCAGCCCCAGTAAGTTAAAAAGAAGTTACGTTTTTCAGTGTGGACTTATAATTTTAATAAACATACTTTTTTAAATTGGGTGTGAATTTAACCAAAGCAGGTTTTCATATCACAGAACGAGAAAAAGGCACATCACATGAGTAACTGTACTTTTACGGAGTAATCTATGCAAAAACTTTTTAGATACAAATGGTTAGATATCTATAGATTTCAAATATATTCCTCTGAAATAATATATCAAAACTACCCTTCATAAACTAGGTTGACGTACCTTAGTTTTGTAAGGTCGTTTTCATGTTTAGTCAACTTAATCTGATTCTCCAAGTTTGACATACGTCTGCTAACAGCAAGCACGGCGCTAGTGTAATTAGCGTGGTGAGTAAATTTACATTTGAAGTCTTCTGGAGGTCCACACTCAAACAGATAACAACTTCCGGTACTCTAAGAACAATTATTTTTATTTTATTCATATTTCAGATGCACAAACAATTAACGCACAAATACATAATTGGTGCTAATATGTAAACAGATGAGAAAACGAAATTGTATCGCATTGAAAGCATTTCTTTTTTATAAAATTACTTATATGTACATCTGTTACAGGAAATGTATGAAATGAATGTAATTCCTAGGAAATGTATACAATTCCGAGGTTATTTAGGAAATCTATGAAATATTGCACCAAAGATTTTTTAATACACACATATCCTGGGAAATGTATAAAACTATTAATACTAAATAGACAATAATACGACTTTCTGTGAATAAAAAGCGAATAAAACACGTTAGTAAACTGAGAATCAGAGTTATCTGTATTTACGCGGTTCTAGTGCGATCGCCTAATCAGGGCTGTCCAACTGGCGGCCCGCGGGCCGTATACGGCCTGCCAAATTATTTTTACGGACCGCGAGTACATTTTGCAATGAATAAGTAAATTTATTTTTCTAAATTAATATTATTGATGTTTCTGCTACACAATTACTACCACAATATTATCATTAATAAATTACGAATATTTTAGATTATTATCTTCAGTATAAATAAAATATTTTTTTAATTAACATAAACTGACTTTACATCTATAAGAAGAAGAATATGGCCCACGGGCTATGAAAAGTTGGACAGCGCTAGCCTAATGTATATATGCATGGTGACGTTATTGTTTGGTTAGGTTAGGTTTGGAGATGTATAGTGACGTTATTATACGTTTACTAGGTAAATTTATGACAGACTGGAGTTTCTTTAGTGTCCCTGCAGATTTGTTGGAATAATGTCTTCGAAAAGTATGCTTCATTATGATCCTCAGGCTCAACATATATATATATATATAAATGATCAGCATTATCACCTCTACAACATACTAAAAATTCAAGGTCATCGTGTTTGCTGAAACAAAGACAACCTTGTCACATTATTATAAGATGTAATAATCTCCCTAACCAAACAAAAACGTCACCAATGGATATAGATGCATCTTCAAACAGCCTGCCGTATTATTGCCTATTTAGTATTGCCTGTAATACATTTTCGATTGCTATTTGGGAAATGTATAGATTTCCTAAGAAATGTGTCTAATATAATTTATTTTACACATTTCCGAGCGAATTTAGGAATTATATACATTTCCAAAGAATTGTATACAATGACGGATTTCATACATTTCCGGTAACATATCTACATCTGTCTCAACAAAGTAAACAGCCGAGTCAACATTATTCGCGATGAGACAGGGCTCGTACATGATGGTACGTGTTAATTGGTTTAATTGCTTGAATATAAATTAGAAAGAGAGGTAGATACATTGTACATTGAAAACTGTATCAGTTTATTTAGTTCGTGTGCAGGTCTACAGCAGTAAAACTAAGTTTCTTGTTTTGATATCTCTAAATATTCAATTATTCAGCTGCTACAGCTTTTACGTTAATTAGCTAGACATGTGATTGGTTTTTTTGCAAATGTAGGACTCGAGAGACCATTTTTGTATTTTACACTACTTTAACATATAGTCGATCTGAAATTATTTTAGTTAATATTGTCGCTCTTCATCTACATAGAATAGGTCTAGATAAGGAAATCATTAACTGAACAATACAATCAACGAGTCCAATAGACATTTTATATTGAAATGGCTACCTAATTCCAAAACGTAATAATTAAAGATTGGTAAATAAATCAACCAGGTAAATAAAAACTAAATAACAATATTCGCATAAAATCATTCATTCGTTCAGTTAAAAACAATTTCTTATATTACTGTACTTCGCTGAATACAATTACTGAAGTTAAAATTTAAATGCAAATTGAAAGGTGGGTAGGTTAAAAGATTAAATTTCTAATGTTTATAGAGTACGTTCCCGCAAAGGTAGTAGTTGCATATGATCATGATCATCCGCTTTATTTCAATTTCTAACAGTTATGTTTAATCGTGTTTTGACATATGACTTTGTTTTGCTTTCAATGGCAAATAATAAAAAATTTACTTACTTTTTCCTCAAACACAAATACATCACAATTTTCAGTTTCACAACACAACCTGAGACATTCCTCCCTCGAATCCAAATCCATTTCATTTAAATATTTCGCTCCCATGTTTCGAGAATCCTGGGTTCGAATTATTTTATCGGTGTGGACATCAAAATTCGTAACACACGTTTGCAAATCTATGTCCGTTGCAATAACTTTCTGTTTCGTGCTTTGTAAATATGTTGTGGAACTTAAAAAGCAAACTAAAAACAGTGCATATGATAACATGCTCGAAAATATTTTTTTCGGTGTGCTGCAGCTGTTTGGTTTTTATTTTATCGTAAAGGAAATACACACAGCTGGGAAATCGATGGAAATGAGACTGCGCGATTGAGGAATCCAGAAAACGTTTGCAACGCTATGCCATTTCAAAGGAAACTTTGTCTTGAACAGGAAATTAAGAATTAACGACGTTGTAAGGTTGGAACATAAGTTTCCTAAGAGAATTCTCTAAAAGAAAATCACTTTTAAAGTCGAGTAACGGAAATAAATGCACTTATGAGTAGATAAATACTTTATTTTGCAAAAGTGTAGGTATTTACAGGTACATACTTTTCACTTGATTGCGCAATAGGTAATTATTCCGTTAATAAGAAAAATTAAACCTGTTTGACTTAAACTGAACTGAGGAAGCTTGTAATTCTCATAACTCCAAAATAATAATAATAACGAAGAAAACAAATACAAAGATACAAAACATATTATTAACGTCATCACAATTAGTGTCTTTTTTAGGGGAGGGAGGTTAAGGAGGAAATTGCAGCCCCAAAGTCACAGTTTAGGGAGGTCTGTTTTCATAAAACGAATGTTTTTAATAAGAAAAATAAATGGATATAGCTAGGTAATACTGAAATTTGAACACTCTTGTAAATACTAAAATCTAATAATCATAACAGACCTGATATCACAATAGATGTGATTTCTTCATGAAA